TTGAACTTGAATAGGAAGTCATATACTGGCAATCTAAATGTGACCTTAAAATTGACCTTTGACCTACTTTTCACCATGAACTGAACTTTGCAAATTTTGCTTTCCTTTTGTCTCCAAAACTGGCAGAGATAGGTCCATAGTTACTCTTGAACTTGAATAGGAAGTCATATACTGGCAATTTACTGTGACCTTGAAATTGACCCTTGACCTATCTTACATCTTACGAAGAACTTAAATTTGATTGTACCATATATATTTTTTGCAAAAGTTTAAAAATTCTTGTTGATTGCATTTTTACAGCTTGTCAAGCACAAAACTGGTGGCTGTGTCCCTTATTTTGTGTATGTGGGGGTCTATACGAATGCGCTTGCTCCAGCTGGTGGTACAATATTCGGAGGCGGTATCGCCTCTCTGATCCTCTAGTTTAACAGTGTAACATTTATTTGTGTATGAGAGATCTGAAAGTTGTGCATGATTTTTGATGCCTTTGAGTTCTGTTTGTTATTTACAAGCTCTCCCGTGCTGAGGACAAGTAAAGTTTTCTGAACATATTTGCAATGCTTTGGTCCACTATATGACAAAACATTACCATATTCAAAGATACAAGTTTTTTTTTTTTTTTACTTGAAAGGGGTTAATTTAATGGTAAATATGAAATTTCACATGATGGGGATTTTAACCAAATATAGGAGTATAACAAGATTAACATATTCATATATTTGGTTAACATGATACTCATATATTTAACAAAATATGAGTATGTTAACCTTGTAATACCGATGATGATTGATATGATTATGTTTTAAATGAAAAATGCATAACAAAAATGAGTAATGTATACTAGTATGTGTAATGTCATCATTATTGGACTTTCAGGTATACTATGGCAAATACGAAGTAGAAAAAGAAAAATATGCGAAACAAATGGAAGAATATACAGGGTCCCACCCGGCAGCCAGCAAGGAGGTCAAACAGGAAGTGGTCATCAAGACAGAGCCGCAGACCACAGACTGACCAATCTCGGGTCATAGACTGACCACTCCTTTATTTAATGCATAATTACTGGGTCATCTACTCAGGGGTGAAGGTCAAGTTGTGGCTTGTCTTGGATCACGTGATATGGTCTATCATTTACAAGACAGATGGGTGGAAATTGTTCTCACTAGTGTCATCTGAATAATACCATTGTATTCAGATGGCAAGGAAAGGATATGGGCTTTAAATTGGAGTTTGAATATCGAAGCTTAACTTAATTGGTGCTGTCCATCTTGTCATGAATCAAACACTTTCATTTAAAAAGAGGGTCATGATGTTTGCTGTACAGTTGTGCTGGTTGGACTTTTGAATTACCCTGCCTTGAAAAAAGAGATTGTGAAAAAATTACTTGTGTTTTCCTGGACAACCATTTTTTTTCGTCACATATGTAATTTTTAGAGCCTAATTTGAATTTGGAGTCATTAAAAAGTAGAGAAACAGTCAAGTAGTATTCATTTGAAAATTAGCTATAATATTTAATATGCTGTATTGAGTGTATTTAGATTAATATGTTATCATTCTAGTGTAAAACTTACTTTTGTGTGTGTTTGTGACACATTTTATATTGTTACTACGTTAATATTTTAGTATCCATCATAGGTTTTCAAAATATCCAGTCTTTTGTTTAACATGTTTTAATAAAATGTTTTTTACTGAAAACACAGAGTTGATAAAATAGTATATTTATGTGAGGTGTTGGAATGTGATATCATCATGTATTCTTCTAAATTGTGTGTAACCATAAAAATTCTTTATCCTTGCGCATTTGTGAATTTCCTTGTAAAAACAACCACTACGAAAAACCAGGGATACCGTCTTTTTGAACAAGAACAGATTTTTTTCTTTTTGGGGGAGGGGGGGGGGGATTAGAAAACAAATATTTAATTTTCGGTCAATTTGTCTCTATTTGATTGTTTTAAAAGGTACACTGCACTGTTGGTATTGCTTTTCAAATTACAATATATGATGAAAATATCCAAGTTTTAACAATATTCAGATAACATTTATTTCAACAAAATGAATCTCAAGCAATACAGTATTCCTAATAAATAAGATATCCATTTAATATATCCAGTTATATAATGAAACTGAAATCATTCACCACAACTATTTGATAAATGATTTTTCCCACTGCCTACAAGATCTTGTAGAAATATTCTCTGTAACTTATAATCTGAAAGCCATTCTGAAAGTTGTACAAACAAGCAAAGGCTAACAATGATATTGTGTAGTTGTATTCTAGAACCATCCTGACCCTGGTACAACCATCCAAGTTAAAGGTACACACCATGGGTTTGAAAACACCCCAAATGCTTATATAATCATTTCTGCCATCTGCAGCTTCTTTAAAAAACTTACATACAATTTAAAAATGATTTCACCCCTCAAATTATTTATTTATTTATTTTTATTATCTGCAGCCTACCTGATGTTGATATTTCCATTGGAGCTAATAGGAAAATGGTTGCTGTTAGTATAACTGGCCAGTCATTTTCACTTAAATCAGCCTATATAAATTTTATCAAAAGTAAAATCCAAGTGCAGAGAGGGGTTAGATAAATGTACTGCGAGTATGAGAAAATAGCTTATTTACCAGGGAAAATTATGAGATGAATAGGAACTTTTTTCCACTACCATATATAAAAGATTACCCAATTATATCAATGTTTGTTTATATCTGGATTAAATAAGACAAATACATAAATCACCTTGCCCATTACTCTCATATTTTTCTTGCAGACGTCTAAATTCAAAGAAATACTTTAAAGTCCACTTAAGTGTAAACTTGATGAGTAAAACCCAAAGGGTTATGACTGCATGAGTGACTTACTTATAAAACTATAAATATCTGGAAATCAAAAGTCACCTTGTATTTAAGAATTCCTAGTTACAAATGTCCTCATTTAAGGTTATTTATCACAGATCTCCTAACTAATGTCAAAGGTGATATTATTAGCTTAAGTCAGTAGAACCTGCCAACTCTATATATCTCTCTCTCTTTTCACTTGTACTAATATCTTCAAACTGTGGTTCATTGGACTTAAAAATGAAAAACAATCCTAAGCAAATAGGGTTACACAATATCCATAATTTGGCTTAGTAGGAGAGGACTGCCTCAAAATGCCAGACTCTCATGCCCTCTCCATCTCCCTCTCTCTCTCTCTCCATAGAAGTAGCCTCCTGAAAGCTGAAGGCTGTGACTGCATTGATGGCTACCGTCCTGATCACTTTCCCTTGAAGTTGTCTTTCTCACGTCTAAGAAAACCCATCACTTCCACAGAGTCTGACTTCTTAGCATGCTGCTGTACACTTGACTCCCTGTGGTAATACATAGCAACAGCAATAATAATAATAATTATAAAAAAATAAAAATAAAATAATAATAATAATAATAATAATAATAATAAGCACAAAGAAAGAAAACATAATATTTGCAATTTTTCGCTTAAATTTGTTCAAAGTAAGTACTTAAACAATATCCAAAGTGTTTGAAAGGGTTGAAATAAAATTATCAAAACTGATAAAAACCTGTTTGAGGAGAGCAATTCTGTTCACCAAAAATTGCCATTTTTGCCACAAAATTCAATGAAATTTAAAATCTATCTTGTTTCTGGGTTGTCACATTTTCAATGCTTTACTTACGTTACTCTCATGAATGGATTATACTGGAGTTCTTCTGCAATTGTTGATGGAATTGTTGGTTCATTTTTGCTTCTCTGGCTCTAAAAATATATTATGCATCTTTGAAATAAAGTTTTTAAAGAAACAAAATATGTCTCTACAGATGCACAGTGCCATGATCAATGGATGATTTCAAATCATTTTTATTTTGGCAAAAATAAATAAATAAATAAATAAATAAATAAAAATAACATTTTTACATATTTTGACCAAATGTGGTTATGGCTTAAAGGGATAATAACTCTTCGGCAAAAAATGAATTTTCCTGGAGTAAACAACAATTTTCCCATACTTTCCAATGGTTAATGAATCCATTTTTATATTCAAGGTTAGTCCCTGGTTTTTTTCTAAAAAGTTTGGTTTTTTGTTAAAATCTCTTAAGAGATTATAACAGAGTATAGCCGTCAGTGGAGGTCACATGGTCTGAAGACCAGCTCAGATATCAGAATAATAGCTATAACTACCGTTTTTGTGGTAAAACAGAATATATTATATTTCTGTGAGTTATTCACAATGTTTTTATAGTGAAATATAAATCTCATAAGAAGAGTTATTATACCTTTAATGTATTTTCAACTTGTAAATGAATCTCATGACTCCTTCAACTAATTTTAAAGATGGATTTGTAGTCAAAATTTTGCCATAAAAACCAAACAAATGCCACCATATAGTTTCCAATAGCATAACTAAAAAAAAAAAATGGTATGCCTTGGCATGTCAACTTTATTTATGTCTTATATTAAACTAAAAGAAGTGGTTTTTATGCCATATAGACTTGCCCTTCAAGAAATCGACGGAAAATAGCTCTTTTTCAATTTTGAATGGGCACTGTAGACAACATATAACAGCTAAAGCTCTCAAATTAAGCACATATGTGTGATATCATGTGAAATATAAGTTCTGTAAATTTCAATCCAAGCAGTTGAGTACATTTTGAGACAGAACGCTTTAAATGTGCAGCAAACCGTAACGCTAATCCCTTCAAGATTTCGACGAAAACCGGAAGTGCGTCATGACGTCACTCGCTTCTACATGGAAAGCTGCTGGGTGATTTTCCGATGAGAAATATTTCGTGGCTCATACAAATGTTCAGAAAATGACCATGCAGATAAAAGAAAATTCACTAATCAAAATTGAAACTGCATAATTACATAGAAAAACATTGTGCAGTCCTGACCTCGACTTGTCAGTGTAAACAAAGTGTACTGAACGCATCGCAAGCAAGCACGTGAATGCCGCGTTTGATACTTTGTATCAGACGCTTTGTTTTACTTGACAACACAGTGTTTACGATGGGCATGACAGGAAAAACAGTGCAAAAAACACGCACTTCCGGTTTTCGTCGATTTCTTGAAGGTGGCGATTTCTTGAAGGGCGAGTCTAAGGAATCCACACTGGCCTCATGTATAACTTTAAACATTTGACACAGACATCAGTATCATGTGAATGTCATGTGACCAGCTCAGTACAGTGTACACCCACCTGTGCCCAGGCCATTTTAGAGTTCACTGCTTCACTGTTGGGTTCCACATGCAGGGCAAACTTCAAGTTGCTGACTGTGTACTCGTGGCCACAGTAGACTTTCTGGAATGAAATCAATAAGGGCTCATTCCCAATGAAACCATTGTTCTACATAGATAGATCCAAGTCCATTGGGACTCTTGCTGGATGCATTCAGATTTACAGATTAACACACCTCTTCTGGTTTCTAATGTACTGGTATTATCACCAGCTTTTCTGTATTCTTCTCAACACCAAGAGGGAGTGTGATAATGCTTGAATAGTGTACTGTTACCTTTTTACATGTGTGTGTGTGTGTGTGTGTGTGTGTGTGTCACAAATAAATGAAATTAATATAATGATAGAAAACAATAAGAAGTGTCCATCATTAGCAAGAGTCGCCCTCTACTGGTGAGGTCTTAAGGCAAACAACTTATACGTATCACAATGAATATCTTACTGTTTCAGGGGGCAGCTTTGCCAGTGTTTCCACCAAAGCATGGTGCATTTCCTGAGCAGTCCCTTCAAAGAATTTACCACAGCCAGCTACAAACAGGGTGTCACCTGGATAAAATGTAAAATCACTTGATTTCAAAAATAGAAAACTGAAATGATAAGAACTGAAATGTCAGTTATGAAGGAAGTAAGGTTAAGGGAGAGGGCGGGTAGAAAAGCATTTCCTTGTATTTGCTGTTACACAAAACACTAGCTATCGAAGGGAACATTCACATCGAGAAGAGCCCAGGTCTAATAAGGCCTCGACCTAAATATGGCGAACCTACATTAAAGGGAAACCGCTTAATCCTGTAATAGTCTCTCCGCCTCTCACACGGCTCCCCACGTGTTGTCCCTCGACCGGTTGAATTGAGCCTAGATTTAATTAGTGTGCCCCTGCAGGGACGACGCGAGGGGAGGCGTGTGAGAGGCAGAGAAACCATTAATGGATTAAGCGGTTTTCCTTTCATGTAGGTCCGCCATATTTACATCGTGGCCTTACTAGGTCTCGGCTCTTCTCGATATGAATGCTCCCTAAAATATGAATCAATTATGGATCAAGTTTTACATGCTATAAAGGAGCAACCAACACAAGAGTAAAATACTGCAGGAATTAAGAGATTTATCACGTGTGAAAATAGGCTCAGCACCACTTGGTCCTGTAAAAAGCATATACCCCCTAGAAGTACATGTACAATACCTGTGAAGACAGCAGGCTCAGTCCCACTTGGTCCAGTGACAAAATAGCAGATATGTCCAGAGGTGTGACATGGAGTGAAGAGACATTCCACATTCAGGTTTCCTATCTGAAACAATATAACACATTTGGTTAGAAAATAATTATCACAGTCACATTTCTATCCTGACTACATTGTTGCCTGTTATAAAAATCAATGGGAGAATCTGATGCCTAGTCATATAATTATACACTGCTGTTACTGATTTGTGTAGAAAAAATGCTTAAAAACTTGGTAATGGTTTCTTTAACATAAATCAAATTTACATTTATAGAGTATAATAAACAGTATAATATTCAAATAAAAAAGAACTAAGACATACAGAATATAGATTTAAAATCTTACATTTAAAACTGAGGAGTGTTGTTCCATTTTAGATACAACTTTTATGCCATTTCTTAACTTTAGGGGTAAATAGGTCCACTGTTTAAGACCCACCCCCTTGAAATCCCTGGCTATAGGGCTGAACAGACAGACAGACAAGCAGACAGACAGACAGACATAAAATACTCAGCAAACCTGAAACTTGTCTCCATGCGTGACTTTATTGGTCAGTGCCCCTATCCTGCTGTCTCCTCCATATACTGTTAGCTTACCACTGGCTATTTTCACCAGCTCCTCATTTCCCCCTGCATGATCCCTTAAACATAATTGACCAGGGCAACATGATATATTAACTAATTAATAAATATATATATAATACTATAATAATTATACATAGAAATGTACCTAATGAATGATGCATTAGGCCCTGTTCACAACCAGCTGATTTGCAGACTAACTAGTCCCTAGATCAAATATGGTCTGAGCAGTCAGAGCAAAGTCGGTTTGACCAGAACAGCATGACAAATATGTATAATACTAAATAGAGTTGTACCTAATGTATGAAGTGTATGACCAGTGTATACACAGACTGACTAGAGCAAATATTGAAAGCATGCCAAGATTTAATTGCTCTGCCATTACGGGGACAATGCGGGAGGGAGGTAGAAATTCACTGTCAAGACTTGCACACCATATTTAATCTGTGGACTAGTTACTGTAGTCTGAAGATGAACTTATTATGAATGCGACCTCACATTCACTCAAAATATATATATATATATATACACACACACATGTAAATGAACAAATGAAAAAATGGTAATTTTTGATATTATAATGTTAAATGTTGATAAACAAACCCCAATGAAGGAACTCGTTCTTTAATAACGAGGATCTGTTCAAAATGAATTTATCAACCTAGCTTTTTCCATTGAATAGATTACAGGAAAGCTGGTGAATGTATCGGTACAAAGATGTTGGAAACAGGAGGAAATGTGTCAGTCTGTCAATTTGATTGCATTAAGCAAGAGTCTCCATGGGGTTAATGCATAATAGATAGGTCGATAAAATCACCATAAATGGGCTCTAAAACACACTGAGGTAAAAAAAAATATTTTTTTAAAAAGTTGCAATAAGAAGAAAAGAACCCCAATTTAAACCTTACCAGTGGTGGTGTGTGGTCAGAACAGAGGTCAGTTTGACACCTGCCTTTTGTACAGCTTCTAATATCTGGAATAATAATAAGAAGAAGAAGAAGGAGAAGAAGAAGAAGAAGAAGAAGAAGGTCAACAACAGCAGCAACAAAACAACATAAGCAACAATAATAATAACAATAGTAATATTTTCGTAAATTAAATCTGCTAACCCTAAAAGTATCAAATCTGACTGCTTAAAATTCTATTAAAAGCTTTATTTTAAACCTTTGCAAATTTGCACAACAATATACTACTGGTGCACAGTACTCATTTACCTTGATTCAATAATCACATGCCATTAAAAGCTCCCCACATTAATTACATGTCATAGTACCTTCTTAGGTTCTACAGGGTCCACAGCGGCACATTCCTGTGTCACCTCGTCCACCAGGAGATACATGTAGTTGTCCGACAGCGCGGGGACCAGGAGTACCTTCATGTCTGCTTGTGTCACTTGGAGAGACTTGGAGTGGTAAGATCTGGATGACACCAAGGACAGGGTGGCTGGGGACACAGAGACAAGTGGGATATCAAACACAAATGAGCATGATTTGATGGTAAACATGCCCAAATTGCATGTGCATGTGTAACGTATAGATAAAACTTGTACTGGGCATAGTTTCTTTACAAGTCAGATTTGAATGTGGATGATTTGTTGAATTTATGGAAGGACGTACCTAAAACACGGAACAGCGGAACAACGGAACAGACTAAAATGCGGAACATTGTTACTGTGGAACACACGACGCAGGAACGGAACAGCATAAAACTTTAAACTTTATTCATTGTAACGTATGCATCTACATGAATAGATGAAAACGTACAAAGGAATGCAAATATATATAAATATGAATTATGATCAATAGTGATATTGTATGACTCCTTGTATGAAAAATACAAAACATATTTGGCAGAGCCCAAATGGCTCTACCTACTCAACTGGTTATGGGTGCAGCACAGTCCCTTTTTTGGAAGGCTAACCATAAATACTTGGCAAGAGCATTAATGTGTTCGTTCTTCTTACCAGTCATTAGTGTTTTAAATTTATCCATTCTGGTAAGGTGCTCAAAGTGACTATGTTGTTTTTTGTATATTGAATAAAGATCATATCGAAGGTCTGTATAAAGGGGGCATGACACTAGGAAATGGATTTCATCTTCTATTTCACCAGAATGGCACTTTTTGCAAATTCTGTCAGCTTGGGGAATTTTATCATGTCTACCTGTTTCAATACCTAGGTTGTGTGCACTNTTTAAATGCTTTACCAGCAGTTTACCAGCATAGTACCCGTCCGTCATCAGAGGTCAGACCAAAGCGACACTCATCAGAAAAAATATATAGGACCAATTGTCATGAACTGTCCAGTTCCAGATCCTGTTGACCCTAGTTTACTCTACGTTGCCTGTTTTGTAACGATATAAGAGGTTTCAGTCTTGCTACCCTGCTGTACACTCTCTGAGCATGTAACCGACGCCTAGCAATTTTCACAGACACATTCTTATGTGTGAAATTGTTCCACTGTGTTGTCAACTGACAAGCAGTGTCGAGCTTTGACAACCTGGACATCAAAATCAGACGTCGGTCTTCAAGGCCAGTATTTTTTCTTGGACTACCCATCAGAGGCAATTTGTCTCTTGATCCAGTGTTTCTATACCGAGACCAGACCCTCTGCACGGTTCTGACTGAACAATTCAATTGTATCGATATTCTGACATTGCTTATATTCCGCCTCTTCAGGTTAATAACTTGCACCTATAACCGTTAGATAATAGGTGCAGACAGGAATAACATTTTCTGTACATGTACAAGACCAACAATACAATTCCATGGTATAGCGGTTTTATACTCATTAGTCACATTATAAGTAGACCAGGCATTATAAGTACCCAAGATCTGCCTACTTTCATTACTCTGAGTTAGGGGGTGACACTTCTTTTGTCCAGTGTGTGTACATGTAGATGGGAACGATTGTTAACTGACTGCTATAGAGAAATAATTTTTCTTTGCACTGCACCTGGTTGTTCAGTACCTTTCCCTTGCCATTGAAAATAATAATTTTTGTTTTTGAAAGATTTATAGAGTCTCCATGTAAAACAGTAAGCTTCAATACGATTAAGACTGTACTGTAAACCAGAGGCACTAGTTGACAGCAGTACAAGATCGTCCGCATAGAAGAGACCTGTGACGGGTTTGTTGTTTGTTATGGGAGAATCGCTTTGACATCATCAATGAGCTTTAACATATCATCCACAAATATATTAAGTAAAAAGGGGCTGAGAGTGTCTCCCTGCTTGACACCTTTCATCGTTGGAAAACAATCAGTTAAGCCACTGGAAGTTTTTACACAAGCTGTAGCCTGATCATACATTGGTCGAATGTTGTCATAGAACACTCCCCTACAGAGTTTTAATAATTTATAGAGGAGACCTTTCCTCCATACACTATCAAAAGCTTTACTCATATCTACAAAGCAGGCATATAGACGTTTACTAGATCTTGTTAACTTTGTGACAATAGATTTCTGGAGAAATTAGTTATTGGAGGTGCTATGTCCTTCCATGAAACCAGTTTGGTTGGGTTGAGGGACACTCTGTTGTGAGCACATCTTTTTCAGTCTTGCAAGCAGAATAAAATTATATAGTTTTCCCACACAACTTGATATAGAGATACCGCGGCAATTGTCTACATTGTCGGTGTGAACGGAATGCAGGTCTGCCCGGACCTACGGACCACCTTTCCTGAGGAATAGTAGTCCTAATGGGACCTGCATTCCTGATATAATAAAGGGTAGGACTTCTATTCCTGGCGGACCTGCATAACGTTTACATTAGTCAACGGAATGGAGGTCCGCCCTATAACTATGTCCGACCATTTAAAATAGCAACTAGTGGATAATGACTATTGGCAGTAATATTATGTTTCAGTGAGCACATGTAAGTACTCCGTAAAATCAGTCGTTTGCCAGTTCGTCTCCCCGGTGTAGTGGTAAGGCTGTGCAGTATAATGGATGCTAAACAGAGTAATTGTGAAAGTGGATGGAGGTTCGAATTTCGTTTACAGAAATAAATTTATGTTTTCTTTCTCGTGTGAATTTTTTTCTTTTGTTTCATCCTTGTCGTCATTTTTGCCACGTAGCAAATTTTTTTATTGGTTACAGACATAACCAGATGTCACACGCTACCTTGTTCTACTATAAATACCGCTCATATATGAATACCACACCCTCACTAGACGTTTGATTTGGAAGGGACAAGCAGCATCCGGACCAGGCCCGAAGTTGAAGTTATTTTCCAATATCTTCAGGAGGGCACGTATCATATCGAGACAACACCAACACAGAAAAGAGTTATTCGGAGAACAAGCAAGTCTAATTATAAAGTAAACTTTCAATTTTAATGATGCAATATTATTAGAGGTCAAACTACGTTATACGCAGATATACATTTCCAGGGATGTGTGTCCAATGGACCTATGAACCTTGAATAAATGTCCTGCAGGGGATTGCTATTTCATGGGTATTTATGCCCGGGGGACTACCATTTCTGGGATTTTAGGTCCGGGGACTACCATTTCTGGGATTTTAGGTCCGGGGACAGCTGCTTGCGATTCCTTTTCTCAGTTTTAAACTCGAACAAAATAACAGTAGTCTAGGTCAATAATTCCTTGAACATCATGAGTACACATATATGCATAGTGTTGTAATGCTTATTTCAGATTGAACAAGGCAAGCTCTGTTACAGAGTTAGCAAGAGGAAAGTGAGGGACGTAGCAGATGAAGGGCATAATGATAATAATGATAATGATGTTGGTGGAGTATGGCGAAAATTTGTAAGAAACAGGGAAGAAGTGAAAAAAATTTTGGATACACTGCATACATCACCGCTTGGTAAGTATGTATTAAAAGAATTCCGTATTCACAATACCGCGTATACATACGTTGCTTTATTTAATTGTGTGACGTAATTCCAGACATTGAAAAACGTGAAGTGTCTATAAAATGCGATGTATTCATTTCCTTGTTTTTTAAATTTAAGGTGGTCACCTAGGACGAGATAAGACACTGGCCAAGGTTGAACAGAGATATTATCGGACAAACATGGTAGACGACATCAGAAAATTCATTTTAAAATGTGACAAATGTCAGTGTGTCAACAAAAAGAGCAACAACGGCTCTCCACCGCTTAACCCTATTCCCGTGGACAAGCTCGAGGCGTGGAGGATGGTAATCAAGACAACTTATGGTATCTAAATTAATTTTACAGGTACTTACCGTGGGGAAAAAAGTGTTGAAAAGAAATTTACGAAGGAGTGACAGAAAGGGGAGCAAACAAGAAAACCCCTGGCTGGGGCCCTACGTTGTGAAGGGGATATCCAAATCTGGAGCTTACATTCTCCAGATTGAAGGCGAGTGCACACTTAAAGGCGCCGTAAACTGGGCAAATTTGAAAGTTTATGTTGCAGATGAATAAATAAAAGAACTGAAATAAATATATGAAAATGTAACAAGTGTTATTCTTCATATACATTTTTATTCCATTGTTTTTGTTTAGGTGAAATATTTTAAAAGTAATGGTAATATTATATTATTTATGTATCTATCTATCTATCTATATATCTATCTATTTATCTGTCTATCTATCTATCTATCACTCACTTTAAGTGCGAGAGAAAAATGGGAGCGGACATATATTCCTAGTGTAAATCAGGATAACAGGTCCCATCCGGACTTAGATTCCTGGCGGTGGGACATGCATTCCTTGGTAACCGTTGCCCTACGGACGTTAAATCCTAGTAACGTATGTCCTAGGACCTCCATTCCTAGCAACGCTAGACCTAGGACATACGTTCCCAGGACTTAGTGTCCGGTCGGACTTGCGTTACTAGGACAACCATTCCGTTCACACCGGGATCGCCAGATTTATGGAGGGGAAAAATGAAACTTTTATTCCATATTTTTGGGTATTGTTTACTCAAAAATACTGCATTGAATAGTTTATGGAGGACTTGTACTATGATTGCCGTATTCGCTTTCAACATTTCAATGGTGATTCTGTCTTCACCCTAAGATTTGCCTGTCCCTAGAGTCTTGGTTTGCTTAAGTATTTTGGCCTGTGTTATTTCATGATCTAAACTGTCAAAATTTGCATTTTCAGCCTCTTTAACTGGCAACTTAGACTCAAGCATTTGTTTAAAGTTGTCGTCATATTTGCCTAAGTCAGAACTGCTGCTCGGTTTTTTAAAATGTTCCAAAAAAGTTAGCGGATGAACATGCTCTGTAGAATTTGATTTATTTTTACTAGTGTTTAGATCTTGTACAGTTTGCCAAAAAGTCTTTGGGTCTTTCCCTTCCATATATTGAAGTTTTTCAAGGCGGCTCGCCCATTATTCATAAGAGGCTTTTTTACAAGTTCTTTTGTATTTATTTAGGGATTTATAAAAAGTTCCCACCACAACTGGGCCATTTGGGTATTTACTTCTAGATTTTGCTGAAGTTTTTAGTTCTTGTTTCATTTCTAGCAGAGATCTTAGTGGTCGTTTTTTTTTTCAATTGCGAAACGCAACATAGTGATATGTCTGCTGCAGATTTCATTATAGTGTTGAATCTAGTTACTAATGTCTCAGAGTTACTGGTTTCATAAAATTTTGAGATCAGTTGTTGGCTTTCTACGCTGGAGAGCGCACTAAAAAATTTTCACCTGAGTCTTTTGGCCAACTATAATTTGATGGTACAGGAAGTACGTTGCTTGTATCTGAATTTTTCTGGGTAATATGACAGGGTTAAATGTAATATAACAATAGCAAGCCTTCTAGGTTCCATTTAACTAACATCTATTATAACAAGATAAAGTCAAACATTAGAAATTGACTCGATTGCTTGTTGTTGCACGAACTGATATATTGATAAGTAACTAATGGAAACTATATGATATTCTTAGTCATGGTTTAATCGTTGTTTAGAAAACGATTTTCTTACACGGTCTGGATGGGTAAGACCTCCTTCCGTCTGTTCGTCACAACTTTCTGAAATAAATAAGCATAATTATCTTATATGCTAATTCCAAAGATGGGTATAATTTTGACTTTTTAAGTGATCATCAATTTGAAAATGATTTTTTTATATATTTCATATGGAGCTCTATTGTAAAATGAAGAGAGATGCATAAACAATTTAAAAATTGAAATCTTAACAACACGTGGACTAACTACTAATTTGTCATTTAGAGGAA